GCTAAATGAGGTCAGCATGAGTGCCATTATTACGATGAACAAGGTGACATTAACTTGACTGAAGTGCTCAAAGCACCCCCGCTTTCTCTGGGGCATCTTCTTTGCCCTGTTCAACCCCAGGGAGTTCCTGCGGTGTGGCACCAGCGGTCCCTGCAGGGGATGGATCTCGTGATTCAGACAGCAGGTAGCTCAGAGTTCTTCTCCTCTGTCAAAAGCCACAGTACTGGAGGCTGAGGGCACTACCTCTTCCCAGGGTTGGGGGGAGCTGTGGGTGCTCGGTGGAGGGACCTTTGCTTAGCAAGGTGCTGCTGTGGGTGCCTGTGCTGGACTGGGCTGGCCAAGACCCCACCAGGGCAGCGGGGTCTGATGCACCCCATTTCCTTCAGCTCCTCTCCTGGTCATTTCTGCACAGCAGTATGGTAAGACAGGTCTCTCTCAGAGACTATGTGTGTGCCAGCACAGAGGTGCACACTTGAGGAGGTGTTGTGAGGGAAAATTGCTGTCAGGGGCTAGATTTACACCTTCCCATGGGCAGCAGTTTGTGGCCACACAAGCAGAGCAGCTACAGACCCCATATGGCTCATGCATAAGAGCATCCCTCTTCCTGCCCTCCCTCCTTCATGCCCATACTTTACACTGACCTTCCTTTGGCAACAGATGGAGGAGCCCTGCAAAGGAGGCAGCCGTGCCACCACTAGCGGTGTTCTTGGACCCTGTCCTCCAGGCAGCAGCCTGCCATTGTATACAGAGGAATATGAATATTAACATTAAAATAGAGGTATATTAGTCTTTGAATAGCTTCCCTAGGTGCTGCTTATAGAAAGGATTCCAAAGCTGGACAAAGCAATGCCACAGAGGACTGGCTGCAGGACTGGAAACCATGCACATCTCCAAGCACCCGTAGAACATTTGCTTTCCCTTTTGCTGAGACTCTGGGAGCAGGTCAAATGCAGCACTGTGTGACCATACAGTGCCCCCCGTCCCCAGGCTCAGGGTCCTGCAGCATCACTCGAGGCAGCCTGCCAGGTCCTGGCGGTGGCAGGCATCATCCCCATGCCCACACTGCACATCTGCATGCCAGTGTGCCCGGCTCCAAGAAAGCCTGCACCCCAGATAAAGAGAGATGTGTCTGTGGGCAAGGCACTGAAGGATCATGTTTGCAATGCTCTGCTCTTGTTTGTCACTGCTACGCCAAGGCCACCACCTTCAGAGCGCTGGTGTCCTTCAGGACAGAGAGGGGGAGATGGAGCTGTGAGGGGGGCCTCCTGTCTTTCCGCTGAGGAGACCAAGCCAAGGCTTTGTGACTTATCTTCTTAGATCTATCATGTCCTGCTCCTTGAGGAAAACCTAGTACTTTACCGCTTTCTTCTGAGCCAGTGCCACAGCCATCCATGGTGCGAGGTGGGGGACAGGCACACGCCAGTAGGGCTCTAGGTCCAGAACAGGGTGTCCTGGCAGGGCAGGAAAGCCCAGTACAACCTGAGCAAGGGTAAATTACTGGGTTGGATCCCTCGTTTCTACAGGATCCCATGAAACTCATGTCACAAGACAAAATCACCAAGCCCAGTAACTAATGTAACTGAGCACTTACCTGTGCTGTAATGGCTGAGCCTAAGTGATCTGCAGTTACACAAAATCAACATGGAGAACGCAGGCATGCTTTAATGACTCCTAGGGGTAGGGAGATTATACACTTGTTTATTATTTATCTGTTTACTACCATTTTCTTGCAGAATTAAAGTCTCAGGCAACATCCTCTAAAGCAGGCCTAGGAAGCACAGTAGATTTATGCCTGCTAAAAGAAAACACAGGCTCCTCCGTTATTAATATGTAAAGCCTGGAGATGAAGTCACTTCTGTATGATGATCTATTTTGGTGGACCACGCGTGCTTAAATCCCAGCCTTGATCTTTTAAACTATCAAGTCTGCCATAAATATTTGATGATGAACAAGCTCATAAAAAGAAAATGCAGAATATGAATAGTGGGAGAGCAAATGTGTGATTCAATTTTTAATTACCATCACCTTACTCTAAAGTCAAGATCATCTTCTGTGAGAGACAGAGAGTAACAAATTTCTTTCTTATCATAATATGATCCAAAAGATCAGCACCGCCTTTGTTTGTATTTTTTAAGGGAAAGGATAAGTATTCATAGAAACAAAAGAACCAGGACACAGGAAATAAGGTAGAACAGTCTGGTTTTATTACCATATGTAATCAAGAGATTTATTTTCCCTTTTCTCCTCCTTTTTTCTTTCTTTTTCTTTCTTGCTTTCTTTTTTTTTTTTTTTTTACAACATACATTAAGTTGTGAATCAGATGTTAGGGGGATGTGGAAATGAAGGGAAACCGGTGACATCACAATACTTTACAACTTTACAACAAATGAGAGTCTGAATTTGTTGCATCTACCAGTGTATAGCAAGGGTGGAAAGCAAAGGCACACATAGGTTCATGAACCCCTTGAAACAAAGGGTGGAAGGGAACCGGGAGCGGGAAAGGATGAAAACAGAAGACCCACCGAGTACAAAACGCATGTTTCAAGGTCAGCCTGGTTACTGGTGTGGTGTACCTCGCGAAGGCAGATCGCTGCACAAGCTGTTGCCGTGATTATTTGTCTCTACGGTTTTGGGAGAGCGCTTTGTGGGGCAATGTCAACGGGACCTGCGCACTTGGTGCTCCAGGGGTTTGGAGCCTGGTAAAGAGGTTGGGAGTTGGTTCTTCTAAAAAAAAAAAAAAAAAAAAAGACCTTGCTACCTACCGTTTTCAAAGGGTTTTCTGTTTGTTTTTATTAAAACAACAACATTGCTTTGGATACAGAACTATCTACTCCAGTCTGCATAGTTCACTAAGGGTGAACAAAACTGTTTCATAAAAGAAGCCATGATGAAATGAAAGAACATGCAAGCACCCTTGATACACACTTTGGTCTAGACCATCCAGACTTTATATATACCATCTATAACCTAGTGGACTTAGAATCTGTCTTTTCAATCATACAGGAACAAAACCAAAACCCTGAAAAACGAATGGAAGTATAAAATTTTAAAAAACAAATTGAAACAGAAACAACCACCTTACTCAAACATACTGTTCAGTAGATATATATATATATATATAAAAAGCTTAGAAGCGATCCCCATCATTTTTCTACAGTATGTTGACACAGTTATTGTAACAGATTAAAAACACATCTAAGTTTTTGCATAAACTGAAAGACTGGAAAGGAACTTACACACCTGCGCGCACACACACACACGCACACACCTGTGCGCGCTCACGCTCCCACGCTAGCTACATGCACACTCACACAAAAGAAACAAAGGAAAAAAAAAAAAAATACATTTTTCCCCAAAGAAGTATATGCAGCATCCTTCTGGAGCAGCAGGTAGCCACAGCAGGAGCCCGCCTGCCTGTCCTCGCTCCGTGTGCCCTGCGCACCGTGGGACGTGCAGCCAGGCTTTCCGCGGGCCTTGGCCCCCCCTCGCCGGCGCTTGTCCCCAGGCAGGGGACGCACCAGCCCTGTGGACAAGGGTGCTGGTCACCTCCTTGCTGCCCACAGTGAGGCTGGTCCCCATGCTGACACGTGGTAAAGGGGGGGAGGTGGGGGAAGGCAGAACCCCCAGCACAGCGCCTTGGGAGCATCGCCGCTTGCGGGTGGTTTTGGGAGGACTTGGCACAGCTAGAAGTCAAACCAAAGTGGAGGGTACTGGTGCTAGCCTAATTAATTGAGGGACACGGGGTTATGACATTAACCACCACCTTCTTCTTTGAATGTCTTTGCTCCACATCTCGACTGGGCTTGGATGAGGAAGGATCAATAAATATTTGCATTACTCAAAGGGGAAAAAGAAAAAGGTTTTACATACTACAGCTCACAAGTATACACAACTGAGGGTGTAAGGCACAAATTTACATGTGGAAGAAAACAGGCTATTCACAGATATATTCCCACGAAAAACCCGTGTGATAAGACCATAATTTATGCATGGTAACAGCCGGCATATTAACTAGTTCACACTGTTTGAGGATTTTGTTTGCCGTCTCACATGCAAGGTGAAATGAGATGGCACATCACAAGCTGGTGCCTTCACAGAAAGTATTAGCTACTGACAAAGCCATGTTGATAGCAATGGTGCACAAATGTGCGGCTTTTAAGAGTTTCTCTTGCAGTTGCGTTAGAAGTTATGAACTTGCGGTATTTGTTGCTGTCTTAGGTCAGAGGCCCAGGCAGCTAATTAGCTGAGAGACTTAAATAAATATCCCCTTTTTTTTTCAGCTAATCAGGCAGTCCAGGCACAAAGTTCAGAATTCCAGCTCCAACTTATCTAACTCAGCGAATTCATTGGAAAAATAAAAGAGTTTTAATTACTCCAGTTAATGGGTTTCACGTTAAATAGGTATAACTTTCAAGGTACATCTGAAGAGCTGCTCACAGGATGATATGGAGGAGTCATTTCCTTAGGAAAAACAGAAGTTGAACAATAAATAAGAGGAGTTATTTGTGTTAACAGTCACGTGTTATTCATTAAAAGAGAAGGGTAGCAGAAATCTATGACATAGTTTGCCCAACACGGCATTGAACTGCTGTAACCAAATGGCTGTAACACTGATGGGCGTCATTTCACAGTACCTGCACGTAGTAAACTTCTGCCATTGTTAAGTCAAGAGTTAGCTTTATCAATGGATTCTCTTTTTTATTTATTTATTTTTATTTTTTTAAATTTTTAAAATTTGTTTGTTTTTGTAATTATTTGTTTTGCTTCTCAGGGCATTCTTTCCCAGTTCAGGAATGCGCTGTGCAGCTGCGGGGTAGGGTGAAATGTCACAGTCCTCTTTCACCTGTGTGCTTTTGGCTCAATGTTTGTGATGGAGGGCTAGTCTTTTGAGCAAAGAACCGGCGGGTTGTGGGGGCGAGTCCTGCAATTGCAAACCTTCAACCATGGGTCATATGGCTCGGGTTTAAAAAAATATTCCACTTTTCCCAGAGAGCAGAAATCCAACACATCTTCAGCTTGCAACAACCATCTTCTCAGAGGAGCGAGTGATAACAGTTGCAGAACACTGGCTTTCAAGGGCAACCTCTGCTTAATTGCTGTCCTCTTCCACACCCCCCCCCCCCACTCTGATTATGTACACGCGTCATTGGGCTTCATGGACGTGGAGAGCGGAGCAAAGGAAGGTTTGGGAGGTACGTCTGGCTTTAGCGAGGGCGTGCGTTTCAACCCCGACCTCGTCAGCGAGTTGTAGGCGGTGAGACTCGGCTGCCGAGATACAGTCACAGCCTGTGCCTGGGCGGCGTGGACTTGTATCGAGTCCACTCGCTGCGGGGCCGGTGGCGGGTTGTCACCCCGGCCGAAGCTCTGATTGCGGGAGAGGTGGGACGAGTTAGAGGAGTTAGTGTTGTTTCTTTTGAGGGTTGACGTCTGGTGACTTCTTGTGAGCGAGTTTGTAGGGTAGCTTCTCTTGTAGTCCACGTTGTAAGCAGAGGAGTGCATCTCCAGCCGCTTGCTCAAGCCACTCTGTGACAGCGAGGCGCTCGGGGGCCCGAGGGAAGCTTCCCGCTGGGGTACTTTTGGTGGCATGCTGTCGAGATTTTCCACCAGGTTAACCCCATGGCTGGGGCTTTTGCTACTGAGATGGTCCTTGATAGTTTTGTACTCAAGGGTGGCATTCTGGTCCTCCACGGACATCTGAGCCCCATCGCTCATTTTTGGCTGGTCAACATACTCATGCTGGTAGCCTTGCTGGGCTATGGGCAGGACCACAACACTGGCAATGTGGCTAGGAGAAGCCCTGAGCGGCAGGTCAGTTGGGATCACGGGCGAGGCCATCGGGGGGATATCTTTTGTGCAGGCATTGATGAGGTTCTGGTTTCTCTCCCACTCCCTGCTGCCACGGCTGGGCTTTCTCTTCTGTTGCAGGGTTGGGGTGGACTCCGGGGTTGGCAGGGCGGCCAGGTCCAGATGGTGCTGGTCAGCTTTGATTAGCATCTTGGCAGTGCTGCCTGGGGTAGCCAGCTTGCCATTGTGCATCAGAGGCGTGAGGATAGCTTCAGGCTTTGGCTCCTTGGACTGAGCATCCCCAAAGAGGCCACTGAGCTTGGTAACGCTGCTCATGGAGCCTCGGCGGGAGTGGGTCAGCTCCTTCTCCTTCCTCTGCACAACAGCCACGTCTCTGCGGCGATGGTCGCAGATGCAGTACACTATGATTCCCGAAAAGACGGCCCCCATGATAAAAGCAAGAATAACAGCAATGGCCAACAGCGTGACGGGCACCAGCTGATCGTGACCCTTCAGGTAACTCTCACGAATCACTCCTGCAATAAACAGCATACAGTGGTTAAACAAACTGAGGACGGGGAAAAGCTACTTACCATTAACTACTTTGTTCAAAGGCACGCCCTGGGAGGTTTGGTTGTGCTTTGCAAGGTGATTTTTGATCAGCTTGCCCAAATTTGGAGACAGACTATACCTGCCAGCTACATCTTGCATGTGCGGCCTTGGGGTGTCAGTGCAGCTTTCAGATCTGGGGTTGGAGACTACGAAGTCCAGGAAGGGAACGAGCATTT